GTTTTGAAAATAAAGATTTTTTTTTTAAAAAAAATGTCCCTCACACCTCTTTTGGGTGGCATGAAGGGTGGTCTGGTCAAAATCCTCCCTCAGTTGCTCTATTGAACTCCCCAGGAATTCCATCTGGGGCTTTGGGAGCCTGGTTTGTGCCCAATCCCACATCCAGTCCACCCTTGCCAGCTCGCTCGAGACCCTTCCCTTTATCTGGGAATTGGGGTAAGGGAACTCAACTTCAGCTGCCTCAGGGGCTAATTTCCACCAGTACTCATCCTTTCTTGCTTCTGCCGCTGGGAAAGCCATCACAGCTTGCATGTCTGGACCTTTGATGTCTGGACCTTTGATGTCTGGAGCTGGCTGCAATCAGGCTTTCTTCCGATAATCTGCCTTCTGCCATGGTTGCCTGATTTTCCCTCCAAGCACCCCAAATATTGGGAAGTGATTGGAGAGCCCGGGATTCAGGAAACCCGGAAATCTTGATAGATTTTTAAAAGTCAGATTTGGCTTTCTGTGAAGTTCCCAAAAGATGCCCTAATTAATTTACGAGCCTCGAGACAAAGTTCAAAAGAAATCCAGTCATTTATTAGGAGCAACATTTTGGCATTTTCTTTTGCTGAGCCAAATCTGATTTCCAGTTAATGGTGTCTGAACTTTACCCCTGTGTCTCCCCTCCCCTCAGTCTGTGTCATAAATCACATTCACCAACGAGGTGCTGCAGCAGGATGTGAACTTTCGCACCTCACATACCTGCTGTAGAAATCTGAGATCCGACCCTGGTCGAAGGAATGCATGGAATTCTCCCTCCCTTTTCCATGTCAACTTAATATTCATGGAAACGTTTTACAAGTTGACATGTAGATCTCCCAGACAGCGGCGGGAATAAAGTATTTGGACAGTTATTGACTTATTTTCCAAGCAAGGTCATTTCATTGCTTGCTCAGGATTACCATCCGCAAATAAACTAGTGAAAATGTTTGTTAAACACATTTACCGGCTGCACGGAGTACCCAGGAGAATCAGCTCAGACCGTGGAGTTCAGTTCATCGCCAAGTTCTGGATAGCGTTCCTGAGGTCCATTGGGTCCACGCAATGACTTAGCTTGGCTTTTCATCCAAGCACGAACGGAGCAGCAGAAAAAGTTAATGCGATGATGGAACAATACATCCGGTGTTATGTGGATTACCAGCAAGACAACTGGTCGGATTTGCTACCTTTCACCAAAATCAAGTATAACAACACTATCCACAGCAGCACTGGATTAACTTTATTCCAAGTTACCAGCGGCATGGAATTTGTTCCCATACCTGAACTGCCCAGAGATCCCCCCTCCTCCATGTCTCTGACTGAATGGATGGATGCTCTTAAAAAGGGGTGGGAGAATAGGAAAAAAGTTCTGGCAGAAGCAGCAGAAGAGTACAAGAAACAAGCTGATAAGCACCTCTTGCTCTAACCCCTCCTTCCGCATGTGGGATAAAGTTTTCATGTCTACCAAATACATAAAGTTAAGAATGCCTAGCAAGAAATTAGGACCAAAAATTTTAGGTCCCTTCCCAATAGTGAAAATAAGTAACCCAGTTATGGTTCAGCTCAGTCTACCAAGAATTCTCGGGAAAATTCACCCTGTCTTCCATTGTAGCTTGCTGAAACCTGTGATTGGGTCCAGCCAAAGTCTGTTGACCCAGCCTCCCCCTCCTCCAGTAGTGATACAAGGAAAAACTCACTATGAAGTGAAAAAATGTTTAGACACTTGATTATATAGAGGTCAGTTACAATATTTAGTGCATTGGAAGAGGTGCCCTTTGTCTGAATCTACATGGGCAAAAAGTTGGAATGTAAAAGCCGATATGTTACTGAAACAATTCCATAATAAATTTCCCAATAAACCAAAGGGGAGGGAGGTGGTTAATTATGCTCATGTTAACCCCCACATTATTCTCTTTTCAGGATGCGCTTTCCTTCTGAGGAGAGGCCGCCTGTCAGGCCTGCAGCCATATTTTCTTTTGCTTTGGCTTGCCACAATTTCTATTATTCTGCTATGCATTTTCTATTGTGGGAAAATGGGAGGGGGGATTGTACGGAGTTAGATGATATGTAGCCAAAACAAAATTCCTTCTAGGAAGCCAAGGTCATCCTTTGTCTCTGCACCTCTGCACCTGACCAGAATTGGATGGGTGGAACTGCCAGCATAGCAGTGGGAGATTGGACCATGTGATGGACGTGTGGGGGCAAGATCTTGAACTTTCAACTCAGTGGGGAAAACCGGGAAGCTTTTAGATTAGATGTGCTAACATGGCTCTCTTAATAAATTGGAACTTTTAGCAATATTTATTTATTTATTTATTTATTTATTTATTTATTTATTTGGAGTTTTTATATGCTGCCCAATCCTGAAGGACTCCGGGCGGCTTACAAGAAATATAAAAAAACACATAACGACAAAACAATTTAAAACAACAGACACCACTCATACATTCATTCTAGTCNAAGATCAAACACGTTCCTGACAAACCTAGCAGACAACTTTGTTTCCCAAAAAATAGGGAAGGAAACTAGGGGATCAGCCATATTGGATTTAATTCTCACGAACAGAGATTAAATGATAGAAGGTGTTGAAGCTACAGGAACCTTGGGTGTGTGTGTGTGTGATCATGCAATATTGGAATTCAACATTATGGAAGCACAAGCAATAGAACAAAGTCAGACTAGAGTCTTGGACTTTAAGAGAGCTAATTTCAATAAACTTAGGGAAGGGATGACCATTTGTCTGAAATGGTATAGGGTTTCCTGCCTAGGCAGGGGGTTGGACTAGAAGACCTCCAAGGTCCCTTCCAACTCTGTTAATTCTATTCTAAATGGAGAAAATACGGCACAATAATGACATTACCAAGAACTGCATGCCCCTCCAAAATTGATGAAAAAAACAAAGAAAACTGTTCCAAGAGTCTTGCCAAGAGGCCTACAGCAACATTAAAGGAGCTGCAGGAATTTCTGACAAGTACTGGTTATGTAATACATGTGACAACAATCTCACATATTCTTCATATGTCTGGGCTGTAGGGTAGGGTGGCAAGACAGAAGCCTTCTTAGAAAGAAAAGCATCCAAGCCTGCCTACATTTTGCAAATACCTAGATCAAGTCTGACAAAAGCATGTGGGAAAATGTGTTATGGTCTGATGAGACAAAGGTTGAATTTATCATATTTCTATGCCGCCCTTTTCCCCAAAGGGGACTCAGGGCAGGCAAAGGGGACTTTTGTTTAAAAATGCTATTATGTTTCTTCTCTCTAGTAGGTGTCTTTTGTTGTTCCTCTGTACGATCAAATCACTAATTAGTCGAAACTTGCCAAAAGTCAAACCAAAGGCTCAAAATCCATACACAAATTGTGCAAATCTTCCCTTTTATAGTTTGGAATTTTTCCAGTTCCAGTTTTATTAATCAAATTCTCCTTGGGCTTGGTATTTTATCACTGATAGCTTTTTCCTCCTTTCTTTCCACCCTCCATGTTCCAAGTGATGTTTAGCTGCTAGCTTAGCTCTGGAAAAAAATTTAAGCACAAAAATTAATTTATTTTAATCTTACATCGGCCAATCTCCGGATCAAACACTCTGTCCGTTCCTCCACTCCTGCACCAGACTTGTTCCAGTTGCCCCAGCTCCAGAGTGGTCATTCAAAGATGGCCACCACCCCTGCCACCGATCTTTAGAGAGCTTTGAATCAGACCTGCTGGGGAACTTGCCTCACTCCCCACAGTCGCCCAAGATGCCTCTCCTTGTGCCCCGTCCCTTCAGGATGGTTCCAGTCCACAAAGGACCTCTCGACAGCAGATTGCCGGGTGGGTTTTCACGTAGCTCGGGAGAGCTCGCTGTTTCCCCAGCCGTTCTCGCCTTGACGCTTCCTGGGTCTGCAACAAAAGGCATTTTTCTTCTGTTTCTTCACACATGCTGTTTCACAACTAACCTCTCCTGAAGGGTTGGTAAGATGGTTTTGGCCGATGCTTCTTCCTCTCCTTTCAGCAGTGGGATTCACCACGGAATCAAAATTGTTTCTCTGAACCAAAAGAATCCTTCTATTTTTAGAAGAGCAGTTTGGGATCCAAACCAATAAACTTCATTTATGTCCATATTTTTAACAACATTTATAGAAGCAGTTGTACTACTGTAATATTTCTTTTTTTAAAACTTAAGTATTATGTTCAGGAGTTTTTTTTATTTAGCAAAGCAACACTTTCATATTTTAAGTTTATGCACTATTCATTTTCTTTTTCTAATTTGCAGGTAGAACAGTCTAAGGTTCTAATTAAAGAAGGTGGTGTTCAGTTGCTACTAACAATAGTTGATACACCAGGATTTGGTGATGCAGTGGATAATAGCAATTGGTAGGTACATTCTAATATTACTCAATAGTGGCTATTATCTTGAAACCCCTGCATGTATTTAAAGTAGAATCAGGGTTTTTTTCATGACACTTTTAGTACTATACTATTGGTGAGAAATGAAATAAAAACATAATTTTCCAAAATCAATTATCAAACATTTTAGTTTCTCAGTGATTAGTTCTGAGATAAAAGTTCAGTTATTACAGAGAAAAATCAAAAGACTTTGTACTATTGGTACTGTGAGATAAATTATGTATGTATTTATTAATCAAATTTATACAGCTTCCCAATTCCCCCAAAGGGGACTCTGGGTGGCAAATAATAAATAAAACAGCCAATAATAAAAATGATTAAAAAATTCAAAATCATAGTAATAAATAGAATAAAAACACAAATATTAACCCTGAGAGAAAGGAGGATAAAATTGGCTCCCTCAGCAATGGAGTCATCAGGACAGATCTCTGGGGCCCTAGGCACCCCAGGCCTTGCAGCATAAGCAGGGCTTGAGGACCTTATGAAAAATCAAAAGGAATGGGTCCAATCTAATTTCAGGGGGGGAAATGTTCCGTAAGGCGAGTGCCACAGCAAAGAAGCCATGTTTCCTGGTACCCACCAGGTATAGGTCCCTAGCCAATGGTGCCCATAGCATGCCTTCTATGCGAGATCTGATGGGGCAGGCTGATGTAACTGGAGCGAGACAGTCCCTCAGATAACCCAGTCCCATGCTGTGAAGGGCTTTAAAGGTTAAATACAGCAGCTTGAATTGGACCTAGAATACCATGGTTGATGGTATTGAAAAATGCTGAGAGGTCAAGCAGGACAAGGATGGATACACTATCCCCATCCCATCAATATCGGAAGACATCCAAAAGTGTGTTCAATGTCATTTCTATCTTATACCTGGGTCTGAATCCTGACTGAAAAGGTTCCAGGTAATCTGCTTCCTCCAAAGCCATCTGGAACTGTTGTACGAAATAGGGTGACTCACAGCGGCCAGGGTGACATGGATGGGTGATCATGGCCGAATGGACGCAACTGGGTTGGCGTGGCCAGATGGATGGGGTCCATTGGGCATAGCTGAGTGGACGTGGCTGGTTGGGCGTGGCCGGGTCAGTGCAGCTAACTGGATGTGGGGACAACTTGGAGTCCCACCAGCTCCTTGCCTCCCTGAACTGCTGGCAGCCAAGCACACATGTGTGAGCGTGCACGCAAACACACACACCAGTCCCAGTTTGGGGACTTTTATCTGGATCCATGCTGGGAAGCTTCCAATTGTGCCTAGGCTTGGGGAGAAGAACCTCTCCTTTAGTGTGCTGCATGCACATGCACACACACACCATTCCGAGCTTGGGGACTTGCCTCATTCTGTCATCACAAGTTGGCAGTAAGATGCAGAACATGGACCAGAAGGGAGTAGCTGAGAGCCATCACAAAAAACAGTTTGGTCTGGAGGAAGATTGCAAAGGGAGACACTGCAAAAGCAACACTAAGGGGAAAAATGAACAACAAAGTTCCTAAGGTATAGGGTTTCCTGCCTAAGCAGGGGGTTGGACTAGAAGACCTCCAAGGTCCCTTCCAACTCTGTTATTCTATTCTATTCTAAGTGTCTGCATTTACAGAATTGAAAATCTGTGCCTCCAACTGGCTAATCAAGGTGGGGAAGGAAAACAGTTTATAAAAGTCCCCAAACTTCAAATGGAGTGTGTGTGCATGAGTGCCTAGCACGCCAAAGGAGAGGTCCTTCTCCCCAAGTTCAGGTGTGATTGGCAGCTTCCCAGCAGGGATCCAAATAAAAGTCCCCAAACTTGGAATGGGGTGTATGTGTTTGCGCCATCCAAGGACCCCCTTACCTTCTGCTTCCACCAGCTGCCAAGGTTCTCATCCTTTATAACCTCCCCCCCTCCCCTAATCCACCTCTGGTTCTGCTCAGAGGAAGGAAAGAGAAGGCAGTATTACTTCAGCCACAATTGGAAACCCATGGACTCCCTAAGCTGTTAATGGGAGCAGTAGCCCTTCTTCCTCCCCATGACCATAGAAAGGAAGGCAGAGGGGCCGCTGCAGGAGAACGGGGTCCACGGTAGTCTGCTGCACTACATCAGAGTTTTCCTGATGTCAAGAATATGTCTTTGGTTATTATAAAAGTTTTTATTCATATAATATTTATTCAATGTAGTAAATAAATATTCAGTCTGTTAATTATTGTACAGGGCGGGGCATAACCTTTTCCTAGGGGGTCACAGCAACACTTGTAATAACAACACAAATAATTCATACACCATTCGAAAGCC